TTCCCTCCATTTCTTGAGGTAAACTCTCTGCCTCATAACTCCCCTTTTGGCTACATTTGGGGGGGCATGTTTACTTCTGAGATAATTAGGCTTGAGTGTTTGTACTGATTTTAAAAAGGACCTGTCTTTCTACTTTTAATTCCAGTCACTGAAATAATTTTATTTTTCAAACCTCTGCTTTGATTTTTCTTTCCCCTCAGATCTACTCTGACTTTTGGTTTCCACTTTTATCCACAAGTGCTCCCTTAACTCTCCAAGCCTTGGATTTTAAGCTAGCCACAAGGTCTCCCAAATTCTGAGGTAAATAAAAGGAATTTTCCTTCAGAGTCATTCCTATCTTTAGTTCCCCCCAGATCTGGGATCAGAAGCCCCGCCACTAAGCTTTTCCACAAAAGCTCTAGCAGGTCACCCACTTCTTCACTACAGACCTCTAACTACAAGGTACCCATGACTCAAAAAAAATTCACTTTTAAAACTCTCACTTTAATGGATTCTTTCGTATCCTGCCGCTGGACACCAATTGTGGCGTTCACCCTCATGGCCCCTGCTTGTCTCCCAAACACAGAGCTCACAAAGGCAAACCAAAAGAAACCTCTTTACATACTGCCACCAGTTGATCTCCTTATGAAGGTCCATTCAGTACTTACTTTTTAATAGAACAAGTTTATTGATTACAGATGTTTTCTAGGATAATTCATAAGTATATTTTTTCAGTGGTTTTTGTGGGTTTTTCAGGCTCTTTGGCCGTGTTCTGTAGGTTATTCTTCCTAATGTTTCGCCAGTCTCTGTGGCCGGCATCATAAGCATATTCTTTCAGTTGCACCAAGCATCAATATTAATCTTCTATATTAAATATCACAGGTTACTAATCACTCCTCAGTCTAGTCACTCCTCAGATCCCCAAACTACCTCTCTCCCCCTCTGATTCCAAACCCTGACCCAGACTCTCTGACTCTCCCCTCCTCTTAGGCTCCGCCTTTTTTACATCTCTCTTGGCCCCGCCTCTCAATTACATTAGCAGAGAACATGAATAATACATGACTTATTACCTAACAAAGGGTGAACGCTATAGCCACCACATCCTATATTCAGTTGTTAGGCCTTGTTAAAATAGATCAACTGGAGGGCAGCCATGCTGTTGCTGATTTTGTGAAAATAATGACATAAGCCCTTGAGGATCTGCTACATATCACTCAGAGATCTTAACAGTAGATCCAGATGTAGCTTTGGCTCATCTGTGTTTTCTGTCATTCTGAGACTGAGACGTTAGTCATGAGAGAGCACTATCTTGTATTTTAAGTATTTCAGGTGAAGTGTAAGAAAAATCTGCTATAATCTGATGAGGTTGTTTTTGACAGCCACTTCTAATATTCTAAAAATGTGGACAAAGTACCCATTTTCCTTCTCCACTATCTCTGTTAACAACGCAGAAACTGGAATCTTCAAAAATAGAAGTGCTGAGAAAGTATTCCACTATATTTTCTATAGGATCTTCTGGGGTCCCAGTTTCTTGATGATTGGGGAATGACTGGTCTCTCAATATATATATAATGGACTCTCCGGGCCAGATAACTATTGAATATCATTGCATTTAGTTTTTTCTAGGTCAAATGTGTTGCCAGCAGGAGCAACCTTGTTGTATAAATTCTATGATAGTAGCAGTAAAGGATTTTTGCTTTGGTTTTTTCGCATGTTTTTAGGTCTAGCCTAATGGCAGGAGGGGTCAGACAAGGTGTAACAAACCCATGGCTTGTAGAAGAGCCTGAGGAAACAAGAGGACTCGGCTTTCATGAGATCCAGCAACAGCAAAAGAGGATTATAGAAGGTAAATCCTCCTTGTTTTTATGCTTAGTCCTAACCCACAGTCTGTGGCCTTATGACAGATACTCTCGACACTGACCACATCTTTTTGTTTTGGTGACCTGCATAAGAAGATGCATGAGGAAATGAAGACCAACACATATTTCTGTTCCATGGTCTTCAGCCAAGTGCTTTTCTTCCCAGACTGGTATGTTTATTTGACATACCAGACTTATTGTATGTCTCTTAGACAAAAGCAAAGAGTGTTGTGGAGTACCCTGACCTCATTGTCAACAATTACACCCCAACCATATGTTGTGTGCATGTAAATATACACAAACACATTCACATACACCTTCTCCCTTTATATGTATATAGTTTAAGCTTTCATAGGACACACTTTTTTCCTTTAAAAAAGATACTGTGTTCCTATGCTCAACTGGACTTGTCTCTGATTATCCAATATGTTTTAGTCCTTCAGTGAATATTTATTTTGACTCCAGGGAATTTTCTGTGCTGATGTTCACACGTGGCTTGCAAATTACCTCTCTAGGTAACTGAAAACATGCTTGTCAACTGGTTCATAAAAAGCCTCATGAAATTAGCACAAGTGCCTGACCCTTCTAAACCTCTGTGGTTCTTGGCAGAATGTATTTAAAGTGAATGGATTAACCTGTGTCAATTTTCAGATCAGGAAATCTCATCCTAATATGGTTCTATAGGATTAAGATGAAAATTCATATTATTTGACAAAATCTTGTCTAATCTTACCTGAAACAGAGATAAATTTGGACTTGTTGAATCATTAGGAGCTTAGAGTAAACCTGCACAGCTTGAGAATTCTTTAGTAGAATAGGGCTCATTGAACATTCTGGGTTTGTTATTTATGTGGGACTTTAAAAAAAGGTTGTCAGCCCATTGGCAAACAAAAATATGTGTTTGGTGGGAAGTATCTGACTCATTGACTTCAATACCCTGAATCTCCTTCCTGATGGTAATAGTTTAAAGAGCTGATATCCCGGATGAGAGGAGTCTTTCAGTATGTTAGATATCTTCCTCTTACATCTGTTCTTATACAATTCTTCCAAAGAGGGGAGTGAACAGCCAATGATGTTTTGGGCCGTCTTGATCACCCCTTGAATTGCCTTTTTCTCTGCCACTGTGCAGCTCGTGAACCATACACATACAAAGTATCTGACTCATTGAGCACATGTGTGGGCCTTAGCCAAAATCCCTCTCATTTCTCAGATAACTGGGCTGTCCCAGTACTTAGGTTTTCTTCTTCAGTTAGTCCTTTCCCATTGCCCTTGTTTTGTTGCTCTTTACCAGTCTTACTGCTTTTTATTGATCTGTAATTTCATGTTGGGGTCTGCAGAATCCTTTTCAGCCCGAAAGGTTTTTTTTTAACCTCCTGGAAATGCTGTTTGGTGTTTGACATGTCATCTATATGTCATCTGTATGTAGAGTAGTCAGTTGACTAGATGGGTAGAGTATAAATGCAATAAATTAAATTAAATTAAATTAAATTAAATTAAATTAAACAATAAATAAAACAATGCTCACCTCCTGACTCGCACGGGTGACACGGGTAGATCTTGGTGGTAGAAGGCGTTCCGCCAAGTATCGAGGCCCTAAACCGTTTAGGGCTTTAAACGTAAGCGTCAGAACTTTGAAGTCAAACAATAAATAAAACAATGCTTTTGACCTGAATGCCAAAAAGCCAGTTTTTTCATAAATATATTAAGTTGTTTTAGTGTTTGTCTAGACACCTTAAGAATCCACACTTCTTATTTCAAAGCCATCATTTGAACTGACAAATGGGAGTGAACGGATTGGGTTGATCAAAAAACTTGTTCATGGAGATATATGGCTTTATCAGTCAGCCTATAATATCTTGCTCTCTTGTGTTTCAACAGTGAGTTGCATATGGTTCTTTCCTCCTGCATCCATAAAAATTTATTTTTTGTTTAGAAAATGCCATCTGCAGTAGCCATAGTAATAGCTTTGGAGAAGAAACCTGACAACTGCCCATTTGTTGGCAAGAGGGGTCTTTATACTAAAGAGATCTTTAGATAGCTAAAGTATAATTCAATGCCTTTTAGGAACCAAAGTTGTGGTAATGTCCATGTACTCTAACATAGAGACTATTTTGTGAGGCTAGAGAGAGACTTTTATTCTGGCTATGGTTGCTATCACTCCTTCTGCCAAGAGCAGGATTATTTCTCATAGGAATGTTACATTTGCACGCAACTTGAAAAACTCTCTGGATTCCTTGGTGCTTGCATCATGTATTAGTTTCTCAGTCATGTTAAACCTTTCTTGGAAAATCAAAAAGGCATAATCAGGAGACTAAATTGAATGTGCCAGAAAATCCGCTGTTTTTAAGATTGAGAAGCAGCTGGACATCCAGTTTCTGAATGGTTTTGGAGTCTTAGCTAAACTTTATTCCTTAGAAATTGTCCAGCACTATCAGCATTTATGCTAGCTTCTTGAGATCTGTCAAGTTGGGATTCATTATTGTGCCATTGGCGACATGTCTTTATTTTAACATGCTGAATATCAGTTTTCTTATGTTTTCAGTGGTGGTTTATAAAACCTGGTATTTAATATTAGTAGGCTGGAATTTTTATTGATTGAGTTCATATGTCTGTTTCTGTGCAGAGCAAGATTCTGGCCTCGATGCCCTCTCTTCAATCTTATCCCGGCAGAAGCAGATGGGACAGGAAATTGGGAATGAGTTAGAGGAACAGAATGGTAAGAATAAGAGGCAAACAGTTTTGACAACGTGATAGGATCTGTTAAGTTCATTGTTAGATTGTAAGAAATGGAGGCTCAATTTACGAAATGCCATGCGAGAACTACAGAGAGGCATTTTACTAAAAATCTTTACTACTTTTATGTCTCTTGCATCTCTGCAAATATCTTATCCAATATAGGAAATGTTGCAAAGTACCTCCTTACATCATGGTGGTGGTGATGATGATAACAGTTATACTTAAGCATCTTCATTTTTTATTCATATGGTATAGAAATTAATGGACTGGCAAATGTCCAGTTTTAGCCACAGAGTTTGATGCGTCTTTGGAAGAGGGCAAGAACTGCACTTTCAGGTCATCAAAGGACAGATTCAATTGTTTTAAAAGAACTGTAAAAATGAGGAACTTGTTTCACATCCCTTACCATTCTCATCAGATGTGTTTTTATCAGCAATGTGCAGCGGATAAGATTTCAACTAAGGTTGAAAAGGCCAAAATTCAAATTCCCGCTCCGTGAAACTCACTGGGTGATCATGGCCAAGTCATGCTCTCAATCTGATTATGGCGAGGATTGAAAATGGGGAGTATAAAAGCAGCCACTAAATAATAAATAATCTTTAGTATGATATGACCTAGATACTGTTATGCTGTAGAAGCGCTACCTTGTCAACCGTTAGTTCTTTGAAGATAAAACTCCCTTAATGAAAGTGATAGATGCACCTTTGTTGGAGAGCTGCCTTTTGCTACTAGAACGGAAGAGGGAAGGGTTTATATCTAGCAGAAAGTGTGATATACTTCATGTAAGGAGGTGTGTAGGTATATGTACATATGCATGTGTGGAGCTAGCTAGGTGAGTGTCTTTGCTCTTCTCAGATAAGCGTATGAGAGCTTAACAGTAGCTGTGTGAGCATTGCTTTGCAGGCCACTAGGTGACAGCAGAGGTCAGAGAAAGACAATTCCGTAGTTTACGCCAGTTTCAGACCAGGAGACATTCTGTGCTTCTTTCCTTTCTACGGAGAGGAAGGAGTCTCTGATTCTGTATTTTAGCTTCTTTCAGTAGTTAATTGCAAATATAGTCTTATCCATCCCAATACAATAAGTTACTATTATGTTTTATATGTAATGCTTTACTGTATTTCCAAAGCAACTAAATAATTAGTTTTACTTATTTGGAAAGACTCTAAATGTTCCAAGCTACTAGTGTGCGATCCAACACATACTGTCCTCCCATCCATTTCCTCATCATCTCAGTCTCCGCAGCAGAGCATGAGCCAGCGCTTGAACTGTGTGTCACTCCTTGCCCACTGTATAGTGGGCTCACAACCCATCACCTGTAAAGTAAATTTAAAAGTTGTAGTTACATTGTAAAAAGAGGCAAAGTGGCTCTTGTTAATTTTTGATTGTAATACACTGTACTCATGTTTTTATTGTTGGAAAAAGGAAGCAGTTAGAAGTAATAGCTGTAAATAACTAGACTCTGGCATCATTCTTTGATCAGCTTATGAGCAGTACATCACTTCTTTCTCCCTGAAATGGTACAGACCATCCTTTAGTTTGGTGTTATTTTTAATTACAACTCCGTCAGAGTCTCCAATCATTTTAGGAACACAGGAAGCTGCTTTATGCTGAGTCAGACCACTGGCCCACGTAGCCCATTCTGAGTGGCAGCAACTCTCCAGGATACTAGGCATGATTCTTTCCTAGCTCTGCCTGAAGATTCATTCATTCATTCATTTATTTATTTATTTATT